CATGGACAACAGCAACAGCAGCAAAAAAATCCCTGCCCCTGAAGAGCTTACAGTTTAAACACTGACCGTGGAGGAAGACAATAAAGGGAAGGAAAAGTTAACAAGGGTTGGAAATGCAGAAATGCAGCTGCATACATGCCTGCTCAGAAGTAAGTCCATTGAATTCAGTGGAGCTTACTTTCCCAGTAAGTGTGTATGAGAGTTAGTTTTGGAAATGAATAGCTTAGGAGTGTGTACAAACATACCTGGACATGGGAATGGATAGGAGTTGTTTTGTTTAAGGGGTTTCCGTTTTCACCCTGTTATAATAACCTTAATCAGTTGATCAAGTAAGTCTTAATGCATTAAATTGGATGCATTGCTTTTGCTTGAGGCTCAGTGATGTCTTCCATCAGCTTTGGCTGGTCACCCAGCTGTGGCTCTATCTGGACAGGGATAGCCTAATTTCTGATGTCTATGCTCTGGTAACCTCTCTAGCTTAGATTACTGCAGCACATTGTACAGGGGGCTGCCCCTGAGGACAGTTCAGAAGCTTCAGCTGATGCAGAATTCAGTGGCCAGGATAGTCATTGGGGCAAGACGGTTTAAGCATGTAACACCAATCCTGGCCCAACTGCACTGGCTGTTAATGAGGTTCTGGGCCTAATTCAAAGTGCTGGTTTTGACCTATAAAGCCTTAAATGGCATAGGACCACAATACTTCAAGGACCACCTCTCCCCATCTGAACTGACCCAGATATCATCTGAGACCCTTTCTCATGTGCCTTCCCCACGAGAGCTCCAGAGGGTGGCAACACAGGAACGGCATTTTCTGTGGTGGCTCCCTGCTTGTGGAATGCTCTCCCTAGGGAGGCTTGCCTGGCACCTTCATTACCTATCTTTAGCCAAACGTTCCTCTTCTTGGAGGCCTTTGGCTAATTATGCAATCTATGGCCATCGAAACTGTGAATGGGGAGAGTTGTTGTTTTCATTTGTTACTACGATGTGTGCAGTATTTGTGTGTGTTTTTACACTGCAAACTGCCCTGTGATCCTAGGCTGAAGTACGGTGTTTAAAATGATAAAATAATCAATAATGATCAAACAGTTGGAAAGAAAAGTAATATTCATGGGGTTATTTAATTTAAAAAATCAGTGTTAGGGAACTATCTATCTATCATCTATGGTAAAATACAGTAAGAATCAAACTAGTCTACAGAAAAAGAATATTTTTAAAAAACACAGAAATAAAAAGCAAGAGAAGAGAGAGAGAAAAATACTTGTAAGGCCCTTTACCATATTTTTATCATATATATCCTGTCATCCACATACAGAAAGGTAGACTCTTGCATCTCCCACCTGGGAACCCTATGTCTTTTCAGACCTTGTTGGATTCCATCAATCCCAGTCATCATGGCCAATGGCCAGAGACTATGAGCAACATCTGGAGAGTTCCAGGTCCCGAACCACTGTTTTAGATGGTGCATGTGTGAGTCGTATCAGGAACCAGTTTAGAGGAGGCTTTCCATTGTGTCAGAGGGAAAGCGATGCCTCTTTCAAAATGGTGCCTGCAGGCAGCAATTGTTATAAGTACCTATATTTAAAAATACTTAGCATTCTTTTTAAAACAACAACAACAATCCTAAAACATGCTGTCTGATTAATCAGTGTGTTAAAAAGCTTTTTAATTAATTGAAATGAGATTGCAGTCCTCCTTTCCCCAACTTCACGGGGTGAGCCCAGCTTTCCCCAGCTTTATAATGCAAATGGCAGGCGTACTTAATGGGCCACAGGAGCTCTGATAAGTAACTTGACTTTAGCAACTGTTAACAAGTGTGTCTGCCTTGCCTCACCAACCAAAAAATGACAGAAAGTAGCAGTCATCTATAAAATAGACACACAGCACAGTTCTATATAACCACTTACCTGGGGGTAAGCCTTATTGAACATAATGGGACTTAAAATAGACACGTCTGGGATTGCAGCGTAAGAGCCAAATCTTTAAAACATCCGCTGTAAGAAATCTGTTTTCAAAGCCAACCTAAACGCAGGCAATAAAAGGAGCCAGAAATGCCTTTGCAATGAAGTCGTTCCACATTTTGACCACCACAGCCAGAACAATTGTACCTATCTGCTACACCTCCATTGTCGAAAGGGCAGATAGAATGGCTCCTATGCGTTTTATTTCCCTCAGCCACTATTCATCTAGTAAGTGTTCTGCAACTTTATCCTTACAACAACCCTGTGAGGTAGATTAGGCTGCTAGACAGTGACTTGGCCCAAGGACACCCAATGAGCTTCATGGCTCAATACAGTGTTGGTTTCCCTGACTTCAGGGCCACTTTCACACCATATGTTTAAAGGACTATGATACCTCCTGAAACCGTCATGGCTTCCCCCAAAGAATTCTGGGAGCTGTAGTTTGCTAAGGGAGCCAAAAGCTGTTAGGAGACACCTAAAAGAACTACAACCCCCAGAGTTCTCCCATGAAGAGGGATTGGGTGTTAAATCACTCCCAGAATTCTTTGGGGAAAGCCATGACTGTTTAATGTGGCATGCATGGTGTGAATGTGGCCTTAGTCTGACATTCTAATCACTACACCATACAAGAAAAATAATGTTATTTTCCAAGTCGGGTTATATGGAAGGAGGCGACTGCTGAAATACTCTGGCTCCTGACCATTTTTAGAGCTTCCTAAGGGTGAATTTCACACCTTATTTTTTTGTTATTCATTGGCAACATTTCTGGACCATTTTTTCAACACAGATATTCATGAAGCAGTTTACATACCACAAAACAATTTCTAACTGTGGTTACACCGCAGCCTCATGAGCGCCAATGCTGTGTTCATGAGAACACATGAAGAGCCTTGCCAGATCAGACCAGGGGCCCCTCTAGTCCGGAATATTCTTTCCCATCGTGCCCAAACAGAGGCTACTGGGAAAGTCTACAATTGGGGCATGAGCACAATGGTCCTCTCTTGCTGTTCTTCCTAGTGACTGGTACTCAGGGAGGTAGTATATAGCCTAAACTAGGGACCATGGATGTCTTTGTTGTTTAGTCGTTTAGTCGTGTCCGACTCTTCGTGACCCCATGGACCAGAGCACGCCAGGCCCTCCTGTCTTTCACTGCCTCCCGCAGTTTGGTCAAACTCATGCTGGTAGCTTCACGAACACTATCCAACCATCTTGTCCTCTGTCGTCTCCTTCTTCTTGTGTCCTCCATCTTTCCCAACATCAGGGTCTTTTCCAGCGAGTCTTCTCTTCTCATGAGGTGGCCAAAGTATTGGAGCCTCAGCATCACAATCTGTCCTTCCAGTGAGCACACAGGGCTGATTTCCTTAAGAATGGAGAGGTTTGTTCTTCTTGCAGTCCATGGGACTCTCAAGAGTTTCCTCCAGCACCATAATTCAAAAGCATCAATTCTTTGGCGATCAGCCTTCTTTATGGTCCAGCTCTCACTTCCATACATCACTACTGGGAAAACCATGGCTTTAAGTATATGGACCTTTGTTGGCAAGGTGATGTCTCTGCTTGGATGGTCTTATCCTCCCTAAATTGGCCTGATCCCTCTTTATGGCTGTCTGAATTGGTGGCCATTATCACGTCTTGTGGGAGTGAGTTCCACACTTTAACAGTGCTGGTAGCAGCCAGCACAGTAAGACTCCATTGCTTATCTGGCTTCCTAAAGCAGAGATTACTAGGAACTGCGAGCAGGAGGGGCAAGGGGGCTGAGGTTGTGGGGCAGGGGCTCATGCTGCCCTGCCACCTCGCCTGTCCCCCACTCTGTTACCAGCAATGAACTTGGGAAGCCATGTAAGCAATGCCCGCCCCCCAAAAAAGAACCTCTGCTCCATGACTGCTACTGAACTGCATGAAAAATTCCTTCCATTGATATGTCCTTAATTCCCCGATATTGAGCATCATTGAATGACCATAGTGCACAGTGTAATGAGACAGGGAGGGAAAAACTTCCCTCTATACATGGGAAAATTTAGACACCTCTGCAATGCCCCCACCCTACCCCAAATCCCATTTTACACACACCACATTGGAATAGAAGTGGGGATGTTTTGCTGCTGAATGGTTTCTTACTCCCAGGTTAATGTGAACAGGATTGCAGCCATGGAAGAGTTAAAATTGGGCTTTCCACCAGAGGTAGTTTATCTTTACTCCTCTTCCAAAAAAGCAAACGAACATGATGGATCTGCAACCATGAACTACAACAATGAACCAGGTTGGGATTTGCGTTTGGATAGCTAATGTAGTTAGACGTTTTCAAGAGAAGTGGTCATTATCCATTATCTGCATGAAATATTTTAAAGAAAGAAAACAGTCTCATGCCAAAAAGAGGGAGAGAAAAAACAACAACAAAAAGATATTCCTTCCAGAAGCAAAGGAGACAAGATCACCTCCAAGCGCTGTGAGATTGCTTTCGTTGCAATGTTATTTTAAGAGGAATTGGGATATATGAATGAAAAAATGCAGATGGTACATGGGCTTTGTATGGATTAGCGGCGTTATTTTGGAGGACAATGATTCACTGTCCCATTTCTTGGCCAAAACGAAATTTTCCAGACTTGGAAAGAGCCATGTATGCATATATTTTAAGAAATCTTGCTATATGTGGAAAAAGAGAGTCTATATGACTGAAAATAGCAGTTGCCAGTGTTTTCTTTTTCTTCTTAACCTAACAGAAAAAGTGTATGTTTCAAAAACAAAGAAGAAAAATTAGGCCCTGCTCATTAAAATGCAGAAATGAAACGTTATATGCTCAAACTGTAAACTAATTCAGCTGAAGTACTATGATTTAAACTGATTAACCGCTTGATCCTACGAGCTGTTTAGTCAGGACCAGTGGCGCAGATGTGGTACAAAGACCCGAGGGTGAAAGAACAGCATGAACTGTGGGACACTGAACACATTGCATGGCTCCAGGAAGGGAGGTTCTGTAGAACTAGGAAGAGTAGCACCATCACAGTAGCCCAGCCCAGATGCAATCCAAGTACATGAGCCCTGGCCATGGCCACGCATGCATTCGTTGCAGCTAAACTGGATTACTGTAGCACATTCCACACCAGGCTGCCCTTGAAGACTGTTCGTAAATTTCAATGAATGCCGAATGTTGCTGTTAAAACCTTGGTGTCAAATGATCCCTTGCGATATTAGCTACGTTAGGGTTGCTGGTCTGAACGAAATTCAAACAGCTGGCCATTACCTTCAAAGTCCTAAATGGCAGGAGGCCAAATTACCTAAATGAATGCATGGGTTTGGCAGCACTCTAAGATGAAACCTTCCTGTGCGTGGCATCACCTTCAGAGCCACGGCTGGGAGTAATGGATAAGAAGGACTTTTCTGTAGTGGTGCTTGATGTCTGGGACTCCCTGGAGGGTAGACTGTCTCCTTCCTTGCTAGTGTCCCACCGTTATTTGAGAACTTTTGATGTCCATGCTGCTTAGATTTCTCCAAACTTTTAATCCAGCCTAGATCTCTTAGTTTTTTTTTAATTTTTTGTAAAGAGTATCTTGCTGTCTCCCTGCCCAGGCTGCCCTTATTTCGTTAGGGGTTTGTCAGTTTATTGGTGGTTTGTAATTTGCATTTTGCATCTGCCGCACTGGGCACAGTGCCTTTTAGCCCATCCAGAGGAACGAAACACATCTGGAATCTTATTTCTACACCCAGATTGCCCTTGCCTGATCAAGACATTTTGGGGCAATAAACTGATTGCGTATAATGGCCTTAATTTGTTACTTAGGGTTGCCACCATGTGGCTGACATATGTAGATTTTTAAAATAATAATAATAATAAATAAAAAATATGTATGTTGCTCTACCAGAATCTCTCCTGCTAATCAAGCGTTTTGATGAATTAATCTCCTGCGTTTCAATTTATATGAAGATTTACATATGGTGAAACCTTCTTATGGAAATCGCAGGGAGGATGCGACACGCATTCATTAAGGCACCCTGAGTATCTGCATTTTAAAGGGCTTTGGCTGTCTTAAGGAAAATGCCCAAAACAAATGATTGGTTTAGGAAAACGTGAGTGCTTTTAAATACATGTTATTAAATAGCACACTTCTCTTTTTGCCTTTTCTCTTTCTTTCTTTTCCCTTCCTTTTTTGTTGCTGTTGCTGTTTAAAGGTTATTGGCATTTTTAAGCATTATTCAAATGGGCTTCACCATCTGATGGTTGAACTTTGATGGTGCTTTCCAATCCGCTGCTTTCCCAATTTCGATGCCAACAAACAAGCAGTCTCAAAAGAGGGAAGGACCTCTCAGCACGAGTTCTTCTTCTGTAAAGGTTATAGTAAACATGTCAAAGCCTAATTAAGTAGAAAATGTTGTCTGTGTCGTGGGGGAGGGGTTGTAACTTACTTCTATCAGTCAGACCGTCTAAGAGGATATGCAATACCATGACGGGAAGAGAACAGCAAATTGAAGGGAGAAATGGCTTTTATTTACCCCATAAAAGTAAAATCAGTATGGCCTCAAAGATAGATTTCAGGGTGCAATTCCAAAATCCAGAAGACAGGGCCACTGGAAGAGTTGAAACTCCTGCCAATGTGATGCCACCATCTTGCCTGGTTCTGAACCACATGCCCCTGATGGCTAACAGGTTAGGGGGTTTGCTATGGGTGCAGTTCTGAAACTTGCTACCTGCAAGAACCCCATGGAGTGTGATTTCCATAAGCAACCTTATCATGGTAGTAGCCACAGCTTCAGCCTCATTAAGGCAAGAGTAGTCAAGATGGCACCCTCCATAGATCGTATACGGCAACTTCCACAAGTCCCTTTACCGCTGAACATGGCAATTGTGGCTCATGGCCGTTGTCACCCACAACAGCTGGAATAGTTACCCCTGAACTAAAGTATCATTTAAGTTGGGCCTGCTGTAACAAAGGTGGGGAAGGAATTCTGCCGAAAACTAAGACTGTTCTAAACAGGGGTCAGAAGAAGCTGGAACAGGATCTAGTGATAGATCTCGGGGTGATTTTCAGTAGATCTGAAAACTGTCTTAACAATGGCAACAACACAATGATCTCCCCCAAAATTAGACTGTTGAAGAAAGCTTGGGGTCATCAGGAACAGATTTTTGGGTCAAAGGACTGTGAGCTTGGTGTGGTTCTGGTGCTCAAAACTAATCTATGTGTTCATGCAGCAGCTGCTCAGAGCTATTATGTTATTTAACTCTTACTGTATGTCTTTCACACCTGGCTCCAGTTCTAAGTTCTAAATACAAAAAAAAGTAGATCCCACAAGCCTGACATCTGCCCTCCCCCGCCTTAGAACACCACTGCAAGATAGGCTGTGTACACACTCCCATTGTGTACACAGCATCGAGTGTGCTCTCATTGTTGGTTTGGGTGATAGTGTACACACAAATATTTGTTACAATCCATATCTATCCTGTTATGTCCTATGAAATACTGCATTTTGATGTGCTTTTCCCTAAAGCAGCTTCAATCCAAATTGAGAAAAGGAATGGCCTTGGAGCATTTTAAGCTAGTAAGAGTAGATAGATTTGTGTTTAAATTTGACTTAGCCATGACTTAACTTAGCTCCCATTGAAATAAATGGGAACTAAAGACAACTAACCTAGTCTAGTTCTAACATCATATAAGGTAGATCAGTATATGTCCATGTCTAATAGATGGCTGAGCTGTCCAAATTCGCTATGTGTCTCCAAAGCTTCTCCATCTCAATATAATACAAGCAGTGTCATTTATTCAAATGCCATGTCAACTGGATGTACCCAAGGCCATTTGCGTAACCAAAATTATTCTCCATTCAGCAGGTGGTGTGGAGTTGTAAATTTTTATCTCTATGAATTGATCAGAAATTTTACGCTGTCTGCATAAAAATGTCAGAATCCCTTTATTTGGATTATGGGCTGTGATGTTAAAATAGATTATTGGCGGTACAAGGTTTTAAAAAAGAGAAAATCTGTACACTGGCATAGAAAATATTATTCTAGTTTACCCATTTGGGTTTTCAACATATTTTAATAAGGATTAATAGATTATGCATGTCACATATATCTCTATGTTATGTACATTTAGTACTACAAATATAGGTAGACTTCCTCCTGAGTAAGGGGCCAGAATTACATTAGTTTCATTTTTTCTGAGCATCCTGAAATGTTTTATTAAGATCATCAAATGGCATAACATTGTTTTACCTTTACATAACCCATAGAAACAAGAAAACCAGAGACTTTACCTCTTTTCCGTGGCCAGTTGTCATTTTCTGGAGTGGGTTGATATCCATTTGAGGGCATCATTTTAATGGGTCTTAAAATGATCTCACATATTAATTTTCTAACTGTTCCATTAAGGGGTGGTTAGAGCTATACTGTTGCAACAGGAAAATTATTAACTCAAAATCTCTAGAAGTTACAAAGAATTATGATCATCTGCCAATAAAAACCAACAAGCTTTGCCAGCTTTTTCACTCCTTGCGCTAACAGTCCATAAAGCAGAAGGTTAAACCTAAATCCAGTAGGGAAAAGCAAATGCCAGAACTAGAGAAATGAACGTGCAGTGTTCTTTTTTTATAATATTTTTTATTAATTTTTCATTAATAATAATCCAGTATGAGCCACATTAATACAATACCAAATCATAATACAATTAAAATTAATACAATTATTCCATTCCAAATTAAACATTTTTGGGTGACTTCCCATGTTCTGATTTTGTGCAGTGTTCTTGCTTATGCTGATGTTTCATGTATCGACATTCCTTTTCAGGTTATGTCCAAGATGATGATTTGAAAGAGGAGGAAGACGTAAAAGAGGAGGAAGAGGATGACGACGAGAGCAACTCGACAGCTCGTCTTCAGGGCAGCAATGACCCTGGCACAGATGAAGAACATGATGCAGGTCCTGACCCAAAAGGTGGCTTTAGCTACCAGAACTCTCCAGTAAGTCATATCTCTAATCAGGATGTTGAAAACGAATCCCTGTTAAGTGATGCGAGTGACCAGGTGGCGGATATTAAAAGCCTTTGTTCTAGAGAGCCACAAGACCCCAAAGCCAATGCCCACCCCAAACTTCCCAGTGAAGCACATAGCTGCATGGATAAAATGACAGCGGTATACGCCAACATCCTTTCAGATTCTTACTGGACAGGTCTAGGACTCGGACTCAAGCTGTCCAACTCGGATAAGAGGGGCTGCGACAACAGGAACGGGGCAAGCAAAAGTGACTTTGATTGGCACCAAGACGCACTGACCAAGAGCCTGCAGCAGAGCTTACCAGCACGGCCTATCTCCAAACCAAACCTTTTCAGCTCAGTCCAGCTCTACAGGCAAAGCAGCAAAATGTGCGGGACTGTATTCACCGGCGCCAGTAGGTTTCGGTGTAGGCAGTGCAGTGCTGCCTATGACACCCTGGTGGAGCTGACTGTCCACATGAACGAAAGTGGTCATTATCAAGATGACAACCATAAGAAAGACAAGCACAGGCCTGCCAGCTACTCCAAGCCCCGCAAAAGGGCCTTTCAGGACATGGATAAGGAAGATGCCCAGAAAGTCCTGAAATGCATGTTCTGCGGCGACTCCTTCGATTCCCTTCAAGATCTAAGCGTCCACATGATAAAAACAAAACACTACCAAAAAGTGCCTTTGAAGGAGCCGGTGCCTACCATTTCTTCCAAAATGGTAACTCCAGCTAAAAAACGTGTGTTTGACGTCAACAGGCCTTGTTCTCCAGACTCGACCACGGGGTCGTTTGCAGAGACCTTTTCTTCCCAGAAGAATGCAAACCTGCAGCTGTCCTCTAACAACCGCTACGGCTACCAAAACGGAGCCAGCTACACGTGGCAGTTTGAGGCGTGCAAATCACAGATCCTCAAGTGCATGGAATGCGGGAGCTCGCACGACACGTTGCAGCAACTCACCACACACATGATGGTGACGGGCCACTTCTTGAAGGTCACGAGCTCGGCCTCCAAGAAAGGAAAGCAGCTTGTTTTGGATCCGCTGGCTGTGGAGAAGATGCAGTCGCTTTCCGAAGCGCCGGCTGGCGGCGATGGTCTGCACGTGAAGCCCTCCAGTAACGCGTCGACGGATTCTGCAGCTCCTGCTTTGGAGCTGAAGAAAGAAAGGAAGCAAAACAAAACGGAGGAAGTGAGCAAAGACGAGAAAGCGGTGAAGAATGAAGACTACGAAGACACTCTTCAGAAACCGCTGGACCCTACGATAAAATACCAGTATCTTCGGGAGGAAGACCTGGAAGATGCTTCCAAAGGTGGTGGAGACATTTTGAAGTCTTTGGAAAACACGGTCACCACTGCCATCAATAAAGCTCAAAACGGAGCACCCAGCTGGAGTGCGTATCCTAGTATCCATGCAGCTTATCAGCTTTCAGAAGGAGCAAAGCCTTCCTTACCAGTGGGGTCCCAGGTGCTACAAGTTAGGCCAACAGTCACGAATAAGCTGAGGCCTATTGCTCCAAAATGGAAAGTAATGCCTCTGGTTCCTATCTCAGCTAACATGGCCCAATGCACTCAAGTGAAGAAGGAAGGAGACACCAAAAAGGAAGCACAAAAGGACCATGTTAAAGAGGGCAACAAAGTTGTGGATGCAGCCCCTGCCTGTCAAAATGAAGGTCACTCTCCCCCTCAAGTTGAGGTGTGTGTAGAGCCTAAAAATCCAGAGCCAAGTCCTTTGAAAGAAGAGGACAAGGCAAAAGATGAGGAGGAGAAAGACAAAACAAATGCAAAGGAATCGGCACCATCAGCTCTTACCAATGGGTGCACTACTTCTAACCACTCCTCTGAGCTGCCTTGTCTAAACCCTCTGAGCGCTCTGCAGTCTGTGCTGAATAACCACTTGGGCAAAGCCAACGAGCCTTTGAGACCTCAGTCCAACACCAGCCCCAGTTCAAGTGCAGTCTCTGTGTTCCACAAACCTAATTTAAACATGATGGAGAAGCCAGTTCTGTCTCCCACCCCAGCACCAACGAAACCTGCAACCGTTACATCCAGGCATTATGTGTTCGAAAACAGCGATCAGCCAATAGACCTGACCAAATCTAAAAGCAAGAAGGGAGAGTCTGTTCAAGCACAATCTTGCACTTCCCCACCTCAGAAACATGCCCTGTCTGACATTGCAGACATGGTCAAAGTTCTCCCCAAAGCTACGACGCCAAAACCTGCTGCCTCGTCCAGAATACCATCGATGAAACTGGAAATGGATGTCCGGCGTTTTGAAGATGTCTCAACAGAAGTCTCCACGTTGCACAAAAGAAAGGGAAGGCAGTCCAACTGGAATCCTCAACATCTCCTCATTTTGCAAGCTCAGTTTGCTTCCAGCCTTTTCCAAACTTCCGAAGGTAAATATTTATTGTCAGACTTGGGTCCTCAAGAACGCATGCAGATTTCCAAATTTACTGGACTGTCCATGACTACGATCAGCCATTGGTTGGCAAATGTCAAGTACCAACTCAGAAAAACTGGAGGGACAAAGTTTCTGAAAAACATGGATAAAGGGCACCCCATCTTTTATTGCAGTGACTGTGCATCTCAGTTTAGAACCCCGTCAACGTACATCAACCATTTAGAATCCCATCTAGGTTTCCAAATGAAAGACATGAACAAGCTGGCTGTGGAGCAGCAAACCAAGGTAGAACAAGAAATCTCCAGAATTTCAGTTCAAAGGTCTCCTGAAACAATAGCTGGAGAAGAGGACACAGACTCTAAGTTCAAATGTAAGTTGTGCTCTCGGACATTTGTGAGCAAACACACAGTAAAACTTCATCTAAGCAAAACACACAGCAAGTCGCCAGAACACCATTCACAGTTTGTAGCAGAAGTGGATGAAGAATAACTCCTAAGGTATGCATGCCTTAACTGCAAAATGAGTTTAAATATTATGTTTATCAAAGGAAGCTCTCAAAGCACTTCTGCTTTCGTAAAACAATTGTGTTTTCCAGGATGTCCATTTCTTTCTGGACAGTGGCTCCTCTAACTGTAACTGCTGCATGATGGGACAAATTTAAGGGGTGCAACTGCTTCCATGATGGGAAAACTTTGCTTTTTTTGCATTTTGCTCAGCCAGGCTGCTGTTAAAGGCACAGGAACCTCTGCCAAGAAAAAAATTGGCAACCTCGTTTGCTGTTGACACTATGTTCCCACTTAGCTATCCAGTCCATTAATCTTGCATTTGAAAAGCAAAGCTTGACAAACACTTCACTCTAATGGCTTCTATTGAAATTGTATTTGCTTGTAATATTTTAAGCATCTGTGTCACCCTTTTGTCCCATAATCTGCACAGAGGAGTGGGAGTCACAGCAACTCGGATGGCATTGTCATGTGTTTTCAGTGTCGTTTCAGACATGGATTGCCACATTTGATGATGATTTCCTTATGGTTTCAAGGACCTCTTTCGCTGCTTCTCCTTACACTGGCCATTTGATTGTGCATTATGTCTGTCTAAATCAGAGGAGGCTAACCTGTGATACCCCCCCTGATGTTGCTCAACTACAACTCCCATCACCCCAACCATTGACCATGCCGGCTGAGACTGATGGGAGCTGGAGTCCAACAACATCTGGGGGACAACAGGTTAGCAATCCCAGTCTATAACTTTTTGTCCTGTAAGACCTCCAACAACCTCTTTATTTTTCTGATGCAATGTAAGGTGGGATGTCCAAAGCACAGTCGTTGGGTGCATACCATGTTCAATCACTGTTAGTCTCCATGAGTACTGGGGTTAGATGGAACAATGGTCCAATTCATCACAAGGCAGCTTCATGTCGTCCCATGGCTTACCAGGATGCCAAGGGATCATACTCTCTTGTAAAGGGACTCTCTGCAAATGAGCTCCCAAAGGTTGTAAAGCTACAAAAAAAATATACCTACATCCAAGCAGCCTTTTTTGGGGAAAGAGCTCAATGAGGAAGAGGGGTTCCAGGGGGTCCCTGCACCACAACAAGCAGGTGCTAAGCAGGCAGAAAAACAAGGTAGGCTAGAAATCCACACCAGATAGTCCAAAGAGGCATGAGAGATGGGAAGCAGGAGTTCCTTATCCTATTTATAAAGTTTTATACTGCTTTTTTATGTCTGAAGTTAAAATTTAAAAATGGTAAAAAACGAGACACTTGCATTTCATCTCCCCACACTTCTGGGGTCATCCTGAAGCGAGGATGGGGAACCTGCAGCCCTCCAGGATTGCTGGACTCCAGCTCTCATCCTCCCGCTTATGCATAGCCAATGGGCAGTGATGATAGAGTTGTAGTCCAGCAACATCTAGAGGGCCCCCTCTGTTCTAAAGTGAGAAATGCATTCCATCCCCTTTCTCTGTCCAGCACCCGGAAGCACAGGGAGAGGAGATGCATGTCACACTTCCCCTCTCCCCACTTCTATGGAGCATCCCAAGGGGCTTTACTTAGGTGTCAATGTCCAAGCTTACCTTGCTATAATAGCTCCTGCATGCCTAATCTGTGTGCTGATTAAGAGCCCGAGAACCCCGGGAAGATGCAAAAGGGGACAGGACTCTGCTTTTTTAATGGTTGTGTAAGGGAGAGAATGGCAACGGGTTTAATTTGTCATGCAACTTATACACCTGCTGAAGTTCCTCCTTCTTCTCTACTATTAAAGGTGCAGGAACCTTGTCCTTTTTTTGCATCTGATCACCCTAGATGCAAGTAAGGGTCGCCTAGACTCCAAGGTGCAGTTGCCGGCTCCCTCTCCCAACCCCATATGCACTGGCTATTTGTCTTCTATGTTCCTCTTCCTGTTCAAAACGTGAATTCTCTGCGGCCAGAAGGTAACACTCAACGGTTGAGTAGACCAAAGTCTATACAATACACTGAAAGCCTGTATTCCAAAAGAAAAAAAGGGGAGGCGGGGAGATAACATTGGTTATGTAGTCATTATTCTAGATAAACATATGGCATCATAGATTCATTTGTGTAACAATAAATTCCTTTGTCACATATAAACGTATGTAGAAGTCTCACTCTTTAATTATTCTGGCTAGTCTTAACTGCCCTTTTGAATGTTTACACAGTCCTTTCCTTTGTAATCAGATACATGTTGCTTAGCTCATAGCATTATACACACACTGCTCAATACAGTGCACATTATATTGGAGAAATGAATAGAGCCCCATATTGACTTGAATTGAACATGTCCTGCTTATTCTGGTGTGGTCTCATATGCTTGCAATGCAATCCCTCTTCCTTTCAAGGAGCTGCCGTTAGAACCCCACGCCATGCGTGAATTGAAGCGCCACACAGCTCCCGTTGTTTCCAGAACCGTTTTTAGTACAAGGTTGTCTTTTCTTTTTAAGAAGGAGAGAGAAAACACACAGACCCATTTGTAGCGAGCTGCTCGTTTTCAATCCTGAAACAGGGGGCAAATAATTCAAGAATACACTTACATCTAGCATTTATGAATATACTATTAGTCTGATGCATAATAAATAAAGCCTGCTTAACTCCAAAACCTGACATCTTACATTTTTAAATTAGTAACGAGCATCTGATAGCCCAAATAAACTGTTGCGGCAGAGGAACATTTCATTGAGATGGAGGGAATTTGCTTCCTAGCAGGTGTGCTGAAAGGGACGCAGGTGGCGCTGTGGTCTAAACCACAGAGCCTAGGGCTTGCCGATCAGAAGGTCGGCAGTTCGAATCCCCGTGACGGGGTGAGCTCCCATTGCTTGGTCCCTGCTCCTGCCCACCTAGCAGTTCGAAAGCACATCAAAGTGCAAGTAGATAAATAGGTACCACTCTGGCGGGAAGGTAAACAGCGTTTCCGTCCGCTGCTCTGGTTCTCCAGAAGCGGCTTAGTCATGCTGGCCACATGACCTGGAAAAACTGTCTGTGGACAAACGCCAGCACCCTCGGCCTATAGAGCGAGATGAGTGCCGCAACCCCAGAGTCATCCGCAACTAGACCTAACGGTCAGGGGTACCTTTACCTTTTTAGGTGTGCTGAAAGGGACGTGGGTGGTGCTGTGGTCTAAACAACAGAGCCTAGTGCTTGTCGATCAGAAGGTCGGCGGTTTGAATCCCCGTGACGGGGTGAGCTCCTGCTGTTTGGTCCCAACTCCTGCCCACCTAGCAGTTTGAAAGCACATTAAAGTGGGAAGGTAAACAGCGTTTCCATGCACTGTTGGTTCGCCAGAAGCGGCTCAGTCATGCTGGCCACATGACCCAGAAGCTGTCTGCGGACAAACGCCAGTTCCCTCGGCCCATAGAGCAAGATGAGCGTGCAACCCCAGAGTTGTCCATGATTGCACCTAACGGTCAGGGGTACCTTTACCTTTAGGTGTGCTGAAGATTGCAACTAACAGCACAATCCTAGGAGTATAGGATTGCAGCCTAAACTCTGAAGGACTTGCATTCAGCAGGACTGGGTGAGTGCTCTACAAAGAATTCCTGTTGTCTGGGAACAAAGACATATATAGATATTTGGATATTTTGAATGAGTTTTTGCCCTGCTACATACCGGTATATGCAATTAGTTGTGAAACTTACCTTCCACATCAACGGTGTAAAAGCCAGCACAACATCTGTATGTATTACAGCTTTTGAATGGAATTTATGGTGCAATCATCCCAACCCCAAGATTCAGGCATGTTCTGATGAGAAGAAGGAGCTTCTGCAGTTCAGGGACACTCTCTTCATTTCAGTGAGCAATCCAGTTCATATCTGCAAAGGAAGATATGCACACGAAGTAGGCTCCTTCTTACACTGGAATAAATGCAGGGGGGTATTGTTGAGGTGTTTAATTTGCAAATTGGTCATTGAGATACTGCAAACGGTTGGCCAGCAATAGGGAGTCTTCTTACAAACCAGATTTCCTCCAGAAAGAGTAAATCTGGATTAAATTGAGCTGGGGGGGGGCAGGGAGGATATGGGGTAGTATTTTGATGCTGATGTCATCATATGGATGCTGCAAAAAAAAAGCTTGTTTGCACGAGGAGCTCCAATCCCACAATATTTGCCTGTCTGGAAACATCCATGGTGAGACAACCATTTGCCCCAAAGAGGGAAACAATGTGCTTCGCTGATCTGTGTTGGAGTTCTGATACAATCAGGGCTGGATTTAGGTTTGATGAGGCCCTAAGCTACTGAAGGTAATGGGGCCCTTTATGTGTTCAGCTGTCCTTTGTCAACAACAAATTGTTGCTGTTTTTTTGTGCTGAATATATGCCATATGGTAATTGGTGAACCTAAGAGGTATCTAAAACCATTTGCACATGCAGAATGTAGGCACCCTTTATACTGAAATGAGCAAACTAGTGATATTTTAGGGAGCAGGCTAGCAGGCGGGGCCCATTGCTTACATCATAGGAGCCTACACAACACAAAGCACTGCTGCGGTATGTAGGTTTTCTTTTATTTGTTTTTTATCTTATATTTTAGAAACATACATCTGGTTGTTGTTTTTTCCTTTAATTTTTTTGGGGGGCCCCCAAGAGAGTGGGGTCCTAAGCCATAGCTTGTTTAGCTTATACAGTGGTACCTCTGGTTATGGATTTAATTTGTTTCCGGGTGCCACGCACACCCCAAAAAATCTGTAACTAGAGGCGCCGTTTCTGCGCATGCGCGCAGAGCAATAGAGCGCTTCTGTGCATGCGCAAGCGGCAAAACCCGGAAGTATACACTTCCAGATTTGCTGTTGCCATAACCCGAAGATTCCATAACCTGGAGGTTACACAACACGAGGTACCACTGTACGTAAATCCTACAACAGTGAAAGGGCAATATTCTCCTGAGTGATAGTACTTAGACAGCCGCGTGGAAACGAGGTGCAAAGAATAAAGCATTACAGAAGTGCTTCTTCACTGGAGAGACCTGTCAGGAGTAAGCATGGACCAATGGTACCAAATAGTATGGGAAACAGCCTTACTAGAAAAATTAACCAATAAACTGAAACTGACACGGGGACAAATAGAAGAAGACGCCTTTACCCTGGTATGGCTCCCCTTTATCACATACACAGCCCAATAAGACAATGACAATAATCCACCAACAGCATACAAATCAATATGGCTAACCTGATCCAAAACACCCACCCACCCCACTCACACATGAAAACAAAGACCACCACAGCCAACCACAAACAAACAACCACACCCTAGGCCAACCCCAACCTCTCTCACCACCAAAGGAACACAAGTGAACAGCAGAGAACCTGCACAAGCAACGCTGACACCAAACCCTACATACATTAAGCAAAATAGAAACATTGCCACCCGACCCCACCGCCACTCACCTTTCCCCCCTCTCCCCCTCTCCCCCTCTTCTTCCTAATGTCTCAATAATTGAAACTGATTTGTAAAAATGTTACATGGAAAAAATACAAGAGAGAGACATTACACATACTTCTGTAAATCAAGAAAATCTTTAATAAAAATACAAAAAAAAAGTGCTTCTTGCCATGGTGGACTGTATCACTATTTTAGTGCAAGGATAACACAGCTCCCCAAGCTGACCTTGCTAAGTCTGTTCACAGCTGTTGGCACGAGAATCACAGCCAGTGATGCATGCTGTGTAGGCAGTGACCTGCAGGGTTGCCAACTGACCAGGCCAAAAATGGCCCAGCCTGCTCCTCTGCCTTTTAAGAACAGCTTGATCTTGCGGAAGTCACAGCAGGGGTGTGAGAATCTTCTTGCCTGCAATTACAACCACAGGAGCAGGGGCCGATAAGCTGGCAACTCACCGAGAAACAGAAGCATGCTAACTGCTCCCCCATTGCAGCAGCGGCATGCTCCAGTGCTATAAATGTGTAGCATTTTTAATAGCGAACTGACTTCAGGATTTGGCTAAGTGGAACGATTACAGTTCTAGTGCTATTGAGAATATCCAAATTACAGCGCACAGCTGCACGAGGCTCCCTTAGTACAAAGGTAATGACTCTGCCTTTGGACACTTACCCTGTAAAACACTGTCATTAAAAAGGCCAATGAAAAAAGCAATGAAAACACACTCTGATTGAATTCATTTTAAATAGTAGATTTCCGGACATACAGTTTGGCAGACCTGCTGCTGCAATAGGATATCTGGGCCTGTTATTTCCCTCACAGGGACTGGTATGTACCTATTGTTAGTCCATAATTTGAAATTCCACATACTTTGTAATAAAAGAAGATTTTTTAAAAATGGAAAAGTATGGGGGGGGAATATTTTTGTATTCTCCCCATCCCCAAGAGTAGATTTCATTTGATTTATTTTATTTTTACCGTGTTTATGTTTATTAACATTATGAACATTGGCAGAGCTATTTTTCTAGAAAAAGAGGCGTCAGAACTCACCAGGAACGCCTCCCTTGTTCTCTTATAATGGCAATAGAACCTAATGGAGAGGTGACGAATATGAGTTTTGGTTGGAAAAAAAGCTCTGCCCATTGGCAAATAATTTGGATTCTGTCGCAAAAAAAGACATCTGCTTGAATATAGGGAAATAACCAGCAAAACATGCTTTTGATGCGGGAATTTAGCAGATAAGCAACACAACTGCAACCAATCCTAAATAGAGTAATATGTTCAGGGTGTGGAGTGTTAGAGATATATTAATTTCTGTTTGATGGTTATTCCTGAGAGGTGCACTTTACACCTAGCAGTCTGGCCCTCTGTCTGTTTACTCCAGAATTAAGTCACACAGAATTCAATGGATTACTCCCAAGTAAGCATAGACAGTTGCAGCTTGTCTCGTCTTCATTTTGTCACATTTCCAGCAGCATATATGTCTTCATGAAAATTCACCTGCAGTTTTTGCCTAATATAAATATCTTCACTAGTAAGCATTTAATAGAGTACATTTTTGTACATTGTTTTCAATAATGTTTCCCCTTACATAGGCATTTTGTATGCATTTTTTGGTTGGAGAATGCCATCACAAAATCCAGGGATGTGCAAATTGCAAAGGATAACAGCATCTCGGTTCACTTGGTATTGTTCTGGAGAATGCAAAGCTGTTAGGACCGTATTAAAAAGAGAACCAAATCAAATTTCTCTTCCACCTCTGCTCTTAAATTTGTGCAGAAGTTAGTGCATAAAACAAACATTCAGACTTTATACAGAGGTTATATTTGTCAACATTTTGGATTAAGAGATACAGAATAACATTTCTGGAGAAACTGCATAGGAAAAGACTGGATTTTTAATTTTAAATACAATTTATCAGGCTTTTTATCAAGTCCTGCTAATTTCACTGCTTATGAGTATGGGGGAAAGAGGCAGTGAGGCAGATGTTAGTTAGCTATTTTTTAAAAATAGGTAACCTATTTGTATTTATATCTTCTTGAAGTCTGTGCCTTAGTACTTTAGAAGGAAATATTTAAATGGCTGTAAAAGTATGAACAAATGGTTATATGGAACTGTAATTTTAGTTGGTATGCATGAAAGCACAAATCGTGTGAAATGATGGGCTATTTTGACTAACACTGTATAGATTATATGTTTTTATTATTATTATTTTAAGCTCTAAAGCTTGACTAAACTCTTTAGAGCTGTGCTTAAAGAAAAACCCTGCAAAGTTTGATCCTGATCTTTTTTTAAAGTTGGAAGAAAATCTGATGTCATTTGGAACATCTTGCTTGTTTGTTAAAAAGAAAGTGTGCACTATTGCTATCCCATAGCAAAATTAAGATTTCTTGCAATAAGTAGATGCTAAATATGCTAGCAAAATACCTGTAACAAGCCTCACATATTTATACGTACATTTTAGAATATTGACATATTGAGAAATAGCAGGTTAATTGCAAGGACTTTTTAAAAGGTTTTAACAATTGGGAAAGGCTCTTCTATTACCTGTTCTTTAAAAACTTTAAAAGTACACCCATAAATTTTGGGTTCAGAAAATGAAAATACCAGATTGAACCCATGTTTGCAAGATTTTGCAAATCTCAAAATATAAACTGTCAATTTCCCCCTAAATTCTGCCCCACACAAACACAATCCAGTGCTTCCCCGTGTGTGCTGAAAGATATTTTGCTAGATAGTAGAATAGCGATTTTACTAAATTCCCTTAATTATTGAAAAAATATCTGATGTAGGGATATGTGTGTGTGTTTCTCTTGCATATCCTTCTTCCTTTTGTCTTTTCCCCGCACTTCCCATAGGTATTTGCATTTTGCAATATAACAGAACATTATCTTGGATTTAAGGATTTAAGACAATCTTACCAAAACTCACCCTTTTCATTTCAACCATCTGCAAATTTGTCATGTTACTCCCCGCATCCATAAAACCTGGAACATCGGAAAGAAGATTGGAGTAATGAGTTCCTTTTAGCATTCAGATTCTTAGCTTTAAATATCTATTTTTCTAATTCTACATTAATAGAAAAATTCTTGCTTCAACCTTGTGAGAAAACTATGTATAAAGCAGAAAGGCCTGTTATTCAAATCACGTAAATTTGCAGTTATGCGCGCACACACACTCCCACACATCAGGTATCATGGAGACAGTGTTTTTGCAGGGTGGGAGGGAAGGATTTGGAAATCTGATATTCATCTGCACACATTCAAATAAAGATAGCTTTGCTGTTTGTGGAACATGCAATTCTCTAGACAAGGGAAAGATTTCAGAGGCAGCATTGGACTAGGGCCTGGGATGCCAGGCTTCCAAGCTGCCTCTCAACCACGAAGCTTACTGGGTGACCTTGGGCCAGTCGCTTTTTTCTCTCCCTAACCTACCTCACCGGGACGCGGGTGGCACTGTGGTCTAAACCACTGAGCCTAGGGCTTGCCGATCAGAAGGTTGGCGGTTCAAATCCCCGCAACGGGGTGAGCTCCTGTTGTTCGGTCCCAGCTCCTGCCAACCTAGCAGTTTGAAACCACGTCAAAGTGCAAGTAGATAAATAGTTACCGCTCTGGCGGGAAGGTAAACGGTATTTTCGTGCGCTGCTCTGGTTTCACCAGAAGTGGCTTAGTGATGCTGGCCACATGAACCAGAAAAACTGTCTGCAGACAAACACCAGCTCCCTCGGCCAGTAAAGTAATATGAGCGCCGCAACCTCAGAGTCGTTCGCGACTATACTTAACTGCCAGGGGTCCTTTAAAAAGGTAAAGGGACCCCTGACCATTAGGTCCAGTCGTGGCCGACTCTGGGGTTGCAGCGCTCATCTCGCTTTATTGACTGAGGGAGCCAGCGTACAGCTTCCGGGTCATGTGGCCAGCATCACTAAGCCGCTTCTGGAGAACCAGAGCAGCGCACAGAAATGCCGTTTACCTTACTGCCAAAGCGGTACCTATTTATCTACTTGCACTTTGACATGCTTTCGAACTGCTAGGTTGGCAGGAGCAGGGACCGAGCAACGGGAGCTCACCCCATCATGGGGATTTGAACCGCCGACCTTCTGATCAGCAAGTCCTAGGCTCTGTGGTTTAACCCACAGCGCCACAGGGGTCCTTTACCTTTACCTTTAACCTACCTCACAGACTTGTTGTGAAAATGAAATGAGGGAGAACAGAACCATGTACACCACCACGTTTTCAGAGGGATTAAATGGAGGCTGACAAATGCCAGCTAGTAGATGGGAAGGATGCTTTTTGAAAATGTTGTGGAACCTTTTGCAGGTTTCAGAGCAGTTTAACTCTGAATTCCAGTTTTGCAGAGCAAAACCTTAGGGGGAGCTGCTCCTTTGTTCCCTGTTTTTGGAAGCCAGTGCTGGGCCAGAAAGTTATTGTGTGTGTGTGTCCCCCAACCCTTCTCTACCAGTTCTCTTGTCCCCCACAGGAAGGCCTGATGGACTTCCGCTAGGAACGGAGCATTTAGTGTCATTGGTCCCATACTATGGAAGACTTTTCCAGCAGAGATTTGGCCATCATCTTCACTCCTGCCTTTCAGACATCTCTGGGACTTAAAACAAAACAAAACATGCCAACAGGTCTGTGCAGAAGCCACACATTTTAATGCCTGCTTTACACTGTTTCGGGAGACAATAGAAGAGTGTGCCTTCAGGTCTAAAGTCAAGTGGTTGGAGAGTTACTGCGCCTGCTGTGGCTGTAGAGTCCAATGTGGAAGAGACATGTTTTGTTGCAGCTGGGGCAGATGAAGGTGTCCGGTTGTGCAGCTACAGCTGCACCATGGCTTTTCTTCTCTCTGCGCTCCTCCAAGCGGTCAGGTGTACGTCTATACATGCATTGTACACAGCCCTAATATTTTCAGACATAGTGGTCTAGAAATACTTTTATAACTGAATGAATGAACGAATGAGGAAATACATTTCAATCAAAAAGTATTGAAAGAGTAATTTTCGGTGAATTTCTCAAGGGCTGGGTGAGAGAGTTCTGGTGTGCTTGCCTTAGTGCTGAGGCAGCTAGAGGTTTTCAGTGACCCTCCATTCCACAAATAACACCTCTCCAGCCTCCCCAGCTGCCCACACTT